ATGTTAATTTAAAAAAAAAATATATTAGTTTGTTAAACACTCTACGGACTAGTGGCTTTTTAAGGACTTATAAAATATAAAAATATAAAAAGAGAACTACAAAACAGGTTAAAGAGTTTCACACAACAACACAAAGACACTAAATAAAAGTACAAGATATGTTCTCAAAGTCTAAAAACACAAAAGCATTCGACAAAGAGACAAAATATGCACTAAACACATAACCAACAAATCCCAACACCAATGAAGGATAATAGACTAGAGATCAATACGGATAACTACCACCAACAAAACAACGCCCCCATTGCAACACAAGAAAACACAAAGAACAGTGAACCATGCCAAAAACTCTCAAGTCGCTATTGGCTTAAGCATATAATACAGTTCTCAAACAAGTTAGAATAATTACATGAGTAAGTCGACGACCTACTTAGATACTATTATTAGGAAAACGAAATACTTGTATCATCCATATCCTTGTTGTTTATTTACGTGAATGTAAAAATAGAGTTATTCATAAATTTTTGGATATACCATACCACGAGTTTCATATCATAATAAGACCACCTCTAATCTCAAACAAACCTTCTAAAGAAGTAAATATCTCATAAAGTAAAAAAAAAAGATCCCTTGGAAAAAAACACCTTCCCAATCCACCTAAAGACCAAATACCACAAAATTTTCCACCATATTATAGGTAACAAACATGTGAGAAATAAACTCTATCAACCCATGACAAAACCCAAAAGAAAGACCTTTATGGTTGGATAAGACCACATGATTAAAAAGATTCTCTCACATAGCAATTTTTATCCCAGAGGAGTTGCAAGAGAAGACTACCACTTTAGATGATGCCAACTCCACCAAATTGAGGCAATATTATGACCCAACCTAGTATTGGAATCAAAACTTGCCTTAATCAAGTCATTATAAGTCGAGGCAACATAATAAATATTATCCTTCTCTGAGCACTAACACCAACACCAACAACCACTTTCTAGAGAGAAAATAGTTTTATGAATATACAAAATAAGATCATCAAACCAACTCCTACTCATAAACAAAAAGGAATCTCCTCCCCTGAAGGTCAGAAAACCAATGACTCGTCCTCTTAAGAAACAACAATATCCATCCACAAGACATACCATAAAATGGGAGTATGCCCGACCCCTCCTTTTGCCTCAGAATATTTAAAAAGCAATTCAAGGGGAACATGCCCGAAGAGTAGAAATCCTACCTCCTTTGAACGAAGAAACAACCATTAGTATCATAAGAGATATATCTTCACTATCACTTATTAAATAAAGTTATATTAACTAAACGAATATCACTAATATTAAACAACCTTTCTGCTTAGTTTTACAGACATCAGACTGACGAGCACAAATAATTTTACTTTCTTTAAAATAATATTGATTCATTGTAAAGAAAATAAATTATTTTGTATTACACCCTAAAAATATGGTAACATAATCTTATACATTTTATTTCATAAATCTTGAATAGATTTTAGATGAAATTACCTATTGAGAATATGTGAAATAATTTTAAGTTTATTCCAATCGAATAATATATTACGTCCAAAAGAATACAAATCTTATTATATTATTAAAACTATATCACATTATTTAAATATATAAAATTATTTTCTAAAATATTTACCTAAATATCTAAAAAATTATATATCTAATTGGAGATCCATGTAAAAATCAAATCTTAATTAACACTATGTTAAGTGAATTGTTGGATTCATCATAATATTGAAACAAACAATAAACATTGTATTCAAATTGATATGATGTAATGGACTCCACTAGAGGTGTCATTATATACCACTAGCATCCAAACGAGCACTCCCGTGCCTATATGAGCTTGAGTAAAAAAATTTTTATAAGAAATATTATATTCAAAAGGAATACTAGGGATACTCCAACCGATTTATAAGATACAAAGCCAAAACACTTCTACACAAAAGTAACAAACTATAAAAAATGAGAAGGAGATTTGAACCATTTATAATAACTACACTTTACTTTTTATGAGACAAAAATTCGAACCACCACCAAGAAGTATGAGTTTTCCTAAGAGCTATATCACCTGGATTTCCAATCTCGTCATTGAATATCACTTGATTCCCAGTCCACACGATAGACCAGCAAGTGGTGATCCATATGATGCACGTAGCTGCCTTTGAGCATCTCTTCACCAACTTCAAGAACCAGTCCAACATGTGTTCACAAACATTCTCTTCTTTAATCCAATCTATCACAACCCAATCTAAAACCTTCCTCCACACCAGGCGAATGTGTGGACAAGAGCATAAAAGAAGATCATTGTCTTTAACAACATTAAAACAAAACACACGTCATGTCATGAGGGTTAAAGATTACACCCCTGACCGCATGGTTCGACCTAATTGGAAACCTGTCTAAAACCAATCTCCAACCAAAGATCCTTGCTTTCATAGAAATCTTTGCCCGCCATTGTATTTCCAAAGCAGTTTTGGGAGTAATCTCCAATTCTGACAAACCACCAACTTGCAACAGAGTATCACAAGATTTAACTAAAAAAGAATGCTGAGGACATCCTTGCCAGAAGAACGAATCAACTAATCCCATACCAGACCTAACTTCCAGTAGCAATACCATTAATTCCCCATAATCTTCCATCAAACCCCCCAAGAGAACGTGTCCATTGAAGCACAAGTTCCACTTTCACACTCCTCCCACCCATTCTCCCATGTCCTCAACAGACACCCATTTCATGTCTGATACTTCATAAAGGTCTTGATACAAACACCTCAGTGGAGACAGACCAAGCCAACAGGAGTTCCAAAAGGAAACAAGAAATCATTCACCAAGTTTACAAGATATTTTCCTTACAAAGCCCACTTCCTCCATTTAATTTCATATCCTCATGATGTTTCTCCACTATAGTGATTCCAACCTTGAATCCATAGGCTCCTTTTTAACCATTATTCTACTCACTAAACACCCACACATTGATTCTATGATCCCCTTCCAAATCGCAAATGGTTCTTTGATAAATCTTCACAACCACTTAGTCAATAAAGATCAGTTTAAAATAGTTATATCCTTGATTCCAAGGCCTCCACAACTCTTTGGCTTACACACTAAGGCCCGACTGACCCATGCCATGCTTGTCTTATCATTCGAGCCAAACCATAAGAAACTTCTTTGAATAGCCACCAATTCCTTAACTATTTTAGTTGGGACTTTGAAGAAAGAGAGGTGGTGGACCAGTAGATTAGTTAGCAATACATTAATAAGGGTTACCCTTCCCTCTATAGAAAGCAACCTCCCCTTCTAAGTTTATAACCTAGACCTGAAGCATTCCATCATGGGGTTCCAAAATCCCACTCTTCTATGGTTCCCTCCCACAGCTAATCCTAAGAATTTGAAAGGAAGCAAACCTGATTTACATGCCAGAAATTGGGCAGCTGCATTCAAATATGATTCCTCAACCCTTACCCTATACAAGCTGTTTTTCCATAAATTAATTTTCAACCCCGATATCATTTCGTATCTTCTTAAGATTGACTTGATGCCCCATAGATCATCCCATGAGCCACCACTTACTAAAATCGTGTCATCTGCAAACTATACAAGGCTGAAAGACAATATTAAGAAGATAACTTTGGAAAATCAGCTTCAATCAGTTTCTCATTTATAGCGGCAGATAACTTTGGGAAATCAGACATATATATTCAGACGTGGTCTAAAGCCATCAATTCTCTTATATTTTGATTCAAAAAATTCCTTAATGGTTCTCTTAACCAAGTCAACTTCTTCCACCAAAACAGTGCCAAATTTTACATAAGATAATGAATTTCTCCTTGAAGTAGTACATTGATGTCATCAAATAGAAATTCGATTTAGCGGGATACACGTAGTTAATTGATTGACATTATAAAATTATTTTTCAAATCAATAAATATATTTTTTATGTAAGAAAGTGTAAAAAAATTTACATCATCGATGTATCACTATCATTCATAGATTGTACTTTAAATGTGATTAAAAAAAAACTTAATATGTGTTTAAAGTAGTGCATTGATGTCATCTAATAGAAATTCAATTTAATGGGATACACGCATTTAATTGATTAAAAGTGTAAAACTATGTTACAAATCAATAAATATGCTTTTTTTTTTTTGTAAGAAAGTGTAAAAAAATTTACATCATTGATGTATCACTATCATTCATATATTCATATATTGTACTTTAAATGTGATTAAGAAAAAAATTTAAGCACATAAAAATTTAAAGATTATGATTAATTGATAGTGTATGATATTTTTACAATGTCATTGCATTTTAATTAAATTTTTTCTATAATTTTTTTTATTGAGGCTGATATATTTATTTTATATTTTTTTCCTGTGATACACTTGTCCTTATTGGATGCAATTATACACATAATTATAAAAATTATCATTCTTTTTTTTTCAATTTGTTTCGTTCATTGTATTTCAAATTAAACTTAACTTGATTTTTCTTCCATCAAATTTTAAATATTAATTTTTGAACATATTTTATATTGATTTTTTTGACAATCAGTCAATGTTCAACTCAAATAATCGTAAAAGCAGAATAATTTATTGCTTTATCTTTTATTATATTTTTTTATCATTTTATCGTGTTATTTTTTTTTCTTCTAAATATATTTAATTAATTTAGTCAAATATTTTTTCCTAATATAATTATTAATTTTTTTAACAAATGGAATATTAAATGAATAGGGCTCAATATAGGGTCAAATGTAATGAATATTAAAAAGAAGGTTCGATACACTTGCTCAATAAGATTAAATCTAATTATATTTTCTTATCAATATTTCTAAAACTTTTTTAAATCCTTATCAATATCATATTTATTCTCTTATATTGTCCAAAATAAAAGATATCACTTTGTTTTCATTGTAGTTTCTCAAATTTCAACCTTTCACTTTACAAACTACTAGATTTATTTTCTTTTGCAATGACATCTTTGATTGAGCAATATGGACTTCCTCAAGAATTTCCTGCCAATCTTAGGGTTCTTGTAATAGACCATGACATCAGTCTTCTTGATGTTATCCAAAAAACATGTTTTCAATTTCAGTATCAAGGTTTGTAAATTTTTTTATTTATCATATTGTATATACTTCGTCTTGCATACTCTCAAAATCGGTTTTGTTGATGAGTAAAATTTCACTTTTTATTACAATTCTTACTTCTTTATTTTTTATGTTTGTTTGTTTCAGTTAAGACGTGCTCTAAAGTTTCAGATGCGTTGGATCTTTTGAGACAAACAAATAATTGTTTTGATATGATATTAATCGAAGCTCAAATGTTTGACATGAATTCGTATGAATTTGTGCAATATGTCACACAAGAAATTAAAATTCCAGTTATTAGTAAGTAAATATATATAATTAATTATTTTGTTATATAACATGATTTATTATTTATATAAACAGTTTTGAGTGTGACATTGTAATTTATATGTGATATTTATGTGCAGTGATGTGTATTGATGGATCAACAAGTGCAGTGATGAAGAGCATTGTAAATGGAGCTTGTGATTATTGGATCAAACCTTTGAATGAGAATCAAATCAAGAATATGTGGCAACATGTTGCAAGAAAGTTTTTGAATAAAAATAAAAAACAAGAAATGAATAAGGGAAAAATGAATGTAGAAGGTAACAACAATACTCGGGAAGATTATATAACATTTGAAGATATTGAAACCGACAAGGATAACCATGAGTTGCGAACAGAGAAGACACGTCTAGCGTGGTCACCAGAGTTGCATAAAAAATTTGTTGACGCTGTGACAGAACTCGGAATTGATAGTATGATTTTTTTCTGTATTATTTTTTTAAAATAATAATTTATTTTTATATTTTACTTATTGTGGGAATTTTTTATTTATTAATTTTTGTTGTAGGGGCTGTACCAAAGAAAATTCAAGAAATAATGAATGTTGATGGATTGACTAGAGGACATATTGCTAGTCATTTGCAGGTATTTTTTATTTGACTTTTCCTTTTTAATTTTGTAATAAATATATTATTTGATATTTGAATATTTTTTTCCAAAAATGTAGATTTTGTATTTTTTTAAATTGTAATTTTTATTAATTGTTATGAATAACATTAATATATTATTATTATTATTGATTGGCAGAAATATAGACAATATTTGAAGAGAGAAAATCTAGAGAAACATATTAGAATTGCTCAAAACATTATGGAATCCAACAATTCCTATGGATTTTCTTCTGGATTTAACTATCAACCTTATGGTGGTGCTTCTTCTTCTACTCATCATAGTGTTCCTCTTGAAATGCAAAACCAAAATGCATTATTTAAATCATCATCATCCTCATCATTATGGCCTAACAATAATTCTCATATAGAACAAGTTCCCAACAATATGTTATGGCAGCAACCTCAAGAATATGGAACATGGCAACAAGTTCCAATGTCATCATTGACAACTGGTGCTTTGAGTTCTTCTCCTGGTTTTTCGCCTTTTTCGGCTGATGTTAACAATGGAGGAATCTCCTCCAGTGCTGCTGTTGTTGAAGATGATGGTAACTCAATAAGGGTGGAGAATGAGGCGGAGCTGAATTCTATCTATGATTCACTAGAAAATCATCTGCTATCTTGATCTTACTTTTTACATGCTAGGTTTTGATATGGATGATTTAGAAGATCAAAGTTTTAACTACATGCTTAATAAGAGATCCATTATCTCATGAGATTGTAAACTTAATATGTAGTTTTATATAAACTGTGTTTTGCCCTAGAATTTTGTGTACAATGGCTTTTCAATTTGGCCAGTTATTAAATCAATCTCACATGATATGATATTTTGAAACTAACAATCTGCAATCTCCTTAGAGATCACAATATCTCTCAGGTTGCGCCACTATAGGAATGAATTTCTTGAGATGTAAGGTCTTGTCGAATCGAGCAAAAGACCCTTTATATCTCCTTATTTGAAAGATGGAAGATGGAAGCGAGGAGAATCCTTCTTATGAATGATTTTCTAGTTTTACTTACAGAATAGAGTCTTGTTGAAGTTCTCATAATGCTTAATCACTAAGTCTCAATCGCCTTTAGATTTACACACAGACGACCAAGAAAGTCAATTGATCTTTCTCTTGCTTTCTTCCCATTTCTAAAGAAATGCTATATGAATATTGATTATTTCTTGAATCACAACTTTGGGAGCTTTGTAGAAAAAGAAAAGATATAGAGGAATGGATTTGAGGACTGCATTTAAGAGCACGAACCGACCACCAAAGGAGGTGAACTTTTCTAACTTAAGAGTCGACCACGAAGTTTGTCAAGCATCAAAATCCAAGAGTTGCGCTTTCTAGGATTGATTCCTATGGGGATTCTTAGGAAATTGAAAGGTAGATGAGCAATGGAACAAGATAGGAAATCACTTGATGATTCAAAGAAATTCAGATCAATGTTGAAGCCCAAAATACAAATTTTGTGAATATTAATTCTAAGCCCATAAGCCAATACAAAACCACGGAGAATAACTTTTAAAGTCCAAATGTTTTCCTAGTATGATTGACATAAGATGATAGTTTCATCTGCGAATTATTGAATATCGAACTTGAGGTTATCCGAGATAAAGAAAGGTTGATACGCCAATTGGAAAACCGCATTTTTCATTAGGCATGCAAGACCATCAAGAACAGTGATAAAAAGAAATAGGGAAAGGGGGCTCCCTTGACAGAGACCTCTATTCACTTGGAAATTTAAAATTGGGCTTCCGTTGACAAGGACTAAGTGTTGGAACAAAATTGGTTAATACCATATCCCTTGGATTTTGATGAAGAAAAAGTATTTAAGGAACAATTAGGCTTTCTAACATTTGTTCAAGTTTGCAGGAATATAATCATTAAGAACATATGAAGATATGCTTGAGAAATTTGCATCTAAATATCAGACTCTGGCTCTGAAGACTCTAACTCTGATGGAAGATTCAGACTCTGAAGAAGTCAACTATGAAGAAAGTCAACCTCTGGTGACCTAGACTCTAAAGCTTCAGAAGTCAAGAAGTAGACTCTGAAGTGATTCGCCTCTAAAGAGTGAAGTCTGAAGAAAGTCAACCTCTAAAGCAGAAGCTCTGATAGACTCATTTTTTTTCCACGTGAAGACTTAAGGAAAAATATATCTCTTGGGTCTCTGAGCTTCAATGGATAATTCATCTTGTAGAAAGGTGTTTTATTGATTTGTGTAATCAACTACAAAGTTATCCCCATCTATTTGGTGAAAGTCTTCAACGTCTCTTTCTCTCCTCTATATGATAAATTGCAGACCTGAAGATGAATACTACCTAGCTTTAATACAACACTCTGCTACATACTCTAAACATTTATATTCAAAAAGAAGCTACTCCATCATATTTGTTAGACTTAGAACATCTTAACACATGTATATTTTAGAAGTTCTTAAGCCTTAGTGTCTTTCTAAGTTGCATTCTATTTACCCCTCTGATTGCATATCAAGTATAGTTGTTACCCAAATCTATTAACAGTTTGCTAAATATTCAGAAGTCTCTTGCTTGTGTGCTTGAGCATTTGAAGTATCTTACATGTGTGCTTAAGAATTTGAAAATATTTAGCTTGTGTGATGGAGCAAGGAAGTCTTGAGCTTGTATGCTTGAGCAAGGAAGTCTCGGACTTGTGTGTATGAGAAAGTAAGTCTTATAATTGTGTTTATAAGCAAAGGAAGTCTCTTGCTTGTGTGAATGAACAGTTGTAATCAGTGTGGTTATAGTGAAAATTTCTTGGAAGTACAAGGGGACCAAACTACTTTGAGATTGTGAGAGGAACCAGGATAATTTCTTGTTTCTCTTGTGCTTTTACTTTACTTGCTTATGTACTTAACTATTTTGCTGCTATCAACTTTGATTCTCCAAGTCAAATTCTAGTTTAGAATCTGATAAGGATCCTTAGAAGTTATTCAAGCTTTCTGAGTCAAAACTTTGAACTAAGTGTTCACAATCTGCTTGAAAATTCTTCGGAAGCAGAAGAAGAAAAAGCTTAAAGTCAACACAATTCAACCCCATGTCTTATGTTTTTCTCATCTTCAGTTGGCATTAGAACCCGATATGTGCTAAACATTTAACAGTGGTGCAAAAAAGATCCTGAGAATGACACATATTTATCATGGCTGGTGAATTTGGAGTATCTAGATCTAGTGGGGATACTCCCAGTCCATTTGGTAGTGTTAATCATGATTACGGTACCTATGAGAAAAATAATTATTCAGATAGATCTCCAACCTTTAGTGGAGACTATGTTGAGTTTGAATGGTGGAAGAGCATAATGTACAGATATATAATTGGTTTTGATGATGATTTGTGGGTTATTTGTGAAGATGGCATTGTTATTCAAGTCAATGGAGTTGGTATGGTGTATGACAGAAAATCTCTCACACCTGCTCAGAAAAAGGATTACAGAAAACATCATAGAGTTAGAGGCATATTAGTTAATGTTCTACCTCACTCTGAGTACATCAAAATCATTGATAAATCTACTACTCAGACCCTTTTTAAATCCCTATGTGCTACCCATGAAAGGAATAAACAAGTTAAGAAAGTTAAGGCTAACCTTCTGGTTCAACAATATGAGTTGTTCAGAATGAAGGATGATGGAGATATTGAAAACATGCTTTCCATTTTTCAAATTCTTGTGTCTGGACTTCAGGTTCTAAGCAAGACCTACACTACATATGTTCATGTCAAGAAGATTCTTAGGAGTCTTCCTATCAAATATAGACCAAACGTAACAGCAATCTAGGAGGCTAACAACTTAAATATACTAAGTCTTGAGAGTCTTATTAGAAATATCCATATCCATGATATGGAGCTAAATGGAGATGAGCATGTAACTAAATCTAAATCAGTGGCTTTGAAGTTAGTTGTAGAGAAATCTGATGATAAAGCTATCAGATCCTCTAAAGTTTGAAAATTAAAAGAAGCTTCTGATGAAGAAGATTCTGACGGTGACACTGATGATGAGGAAATGGCCTTTACCATCAAGAGGTTTCAACATCTGGCTCACAAGAATAGGAGGTACTCTGGCAGAAGATCTGGCTTCAGAGGAACAAGCTCCAAAGAAGATTATCAGAAAGGTTGTTTCAGCTGTCAGAAGCCTGATCATTTCATAGTTGATTGTCCAGAACTTCAGAAGGACAAAGCCAAAAAGGGGAGTTTCCAGACGAACAACTTCAGAAGCAATTTCAAGAAAAGTCTCATGACAACATAGAACGATCTTGATGATGAAGAAAAAGGTGACAAAAATGAAGATGGATCCAATCTAGCCTTGGTGGCCTCAACATTCTCCAGCTCAGAATCAAAAGTTGACTCTGACTTAGATTCAGAGGATACAGACGAGGTATTCTCTAAACTCTCTAGATCTGATTTAATTACTTTATCTTAAGAACTTATGGATATATGTTAGGAAAAAAGTCAAACATTTGAAAATTTAAAGAAACAATATGGTCTTATAAGAGATGAGCTAAATTTCTCTAAAAATAAGAGTGAAAAACTTGAAAGAGATCAGATTGCTTTAATAAAATTTATGTCTGACAAACATTTTAATAAGTATGAATTTTCTCTTCAAGAGTTTGTCATAATTGGTTTTAATAGAGCCAAACTTGCATCCATGATCTATAGTGTAAGTAAGAGCAAAGGATAAGGTTTTGGTTATCATAAAAAACCTTTTAATCCAAGGACTAAAATCTTGATGAAACCATCAAATCCCTCTTCTTCAAGTTGTGTTCAAAAAGAGTTATACTATCATTTTGTGCCTGCTAATAATGCTAAGTTTTCAAACCAATCAGAACCTATAATTATAGAGTTAGAGGTTCTGAAGAAATCAGACCTAAGATCTCAAGATCAAAAGTCCCGAAGAAATCAGAACCAATGATTCTTAAGTCAAAGGCTCTAAAGGAATCAGAACCTGAGACTTCTAAGTCAAAAGCTCTGAAGAAAATAGAACATAAAATATTAAATTACAAGGTTCTGAAATGTCCAAAACCTAAGGATAAGATTCATTCAAGACAACAAACGTTTAAATCTAAAGTCTTGAATAATCTAAAGCCTTATTATAAAGCAAAGGTTCAAAGTAAGAGAAAACTTATCGAAACTAACCTCAAAGAACCCATAAGAATATGGGTACCAAAGAATGAGATTATCTTTGCTACAGATATTGTGAAACGAAAGAACAAAGCAACAGTCTCAGCTCCAGGACAATGACTGATTACAACATACAACAAAAGAAAAGCCTATGATCCAAATCCTAATTTAGAAGGAGGAAAAATATATGGAATCTGGATGAAACCAACAGAGGTAGAGCATTGGTACTAGGAGGAATGAAGCTGATTAACCAAAATCTTGTGCTTCAGACGCTTGACTTATCTCTGAATTTCATCTAGCTAAAATGGACTATGTTGTTTTTTTAACTCTAGACTCCCCAACAGAAGTTCCAGCCTTCTTCTCATCCTTCTGATTCTTCACAACCTTATTCACTTCTTTAGTAGAACCTTTCTAGAATTTTCTCCTAAACTTCTCATTCTGATCAAGAATTAGGTTAACAAAAGAAGGAAAAATGGATATTCTGTATGGTCTAAGGTTGGTGG